CTAAGTACCATCTCTAGTTTCAGATGATGCCTGAGGGGTTCATGAATCTATAGTCTTTACAACCTTGGAGTATGAAACTCTCCTAATGGCTGGATTCAGCATCTGTACTCACATAAAAAAAATGCTTCAGTGCAGCTGGTGGAAATACAAATCAAGGTGAAGCAAGCCCTTCTAAAGCTTCAGTACAGAAACCCATTGACATGACTGCCCAGCCAAGGCCATTAAAAGTAATGTGAAATAAATGAACAATGCCACTCTATGCTCTAGGGTGCTGGGGCAAATATGAGGAATCCCTCAAATGAAGATTGTCTGGGGCCACAATTATGCCATTTGAATTCCTGTTTACAAGCATCTAACAGAAAAAGAGAGGCTCATCCAACCATTATATGAAAGGAAAAATCTAATACCATTTTCTATTTTGTAAATTTAACCCAGGGGCGACATTTTTAAACACCATATAGGTTGCATTATTATATTAACTGCTGGAGATGATACACTGAACAGATGAAATAAGACACTTGCTTTGTTATTGACATATTGTCTGTCTGAGCCCCTGGTTTCAGAAGAGGATAACCAAATTGGGAACCGTAAAACCTAAGCAGCTGTAGGGGTAATTATCAGTTGCCTGATAATATATATTATTTTCCATCTAAATTATGAAATTTATAAAATTTTAGCCATAATACTCCTCAGAAGATTATATCTACCTGATGTTATAGGACACTGTGATTCAGAAAGAATAGCAGAGGTTGATATATAGCATGTTTTAAAATGTGTTAGAAATCAAAATGATAGAAACAGTAAGGAAGTCTGGGCAGAAGCTAAAGTGGACTATAGATAGTCTATTTTCTTACTTATTATAAATATATAAAAAGTTTAGAAAGCATTGTGGCATAACACTCAATACCTTGGGTGGTACTAAGAACTCATCTTAGGTGGAGAAGGCCTCTCTAGATAAAATTCATTCAGTCAACACATAGTTACTTAGTTTATTCTCTGTTCTAGGTACTGAAAAAGGAACAATACACATAGTAGACAAGGATCCTGGTGCCAATCCTCAGGAAGCTTGCAGTCTAATAGGAGATAGATTTTGTGTTAAAAAAGTACACAAATCAATATACTCACTATTGCAGTAAGTCCTATGGTAGAAAAGCACAGGATGCCATGAGAATAAATAACAAGGGTACAGATATAAGCCAACAGTTGGGGTGTCAGGCAAGGGATCCCTGAGATAGTAGCGGTTATGATAAGAACTTGTGCAATGGAAAAATTGAGGGAAGCCCAGTATTACCTTCACTTTCACTACCTTTTTTTTGTTGTATAAAATCCGATGCTAATCCAGCTAATGAATTTTTCATTTCTATGATTTCCATTAGTCCTTGTTTATAGTTTCAATCTCTTTTCTGATACTCCTCACTTCTTCGTCTATCATATTAATATTTGTCTATGGACTCTATTTTAAATGTTTTATTTTGAAATTATTGTTGGTTTCTATCAAGTTGCAAAGATAGCATAGAAAGATCCCATTGTACCCTTCACCCTATTTCTCCTACTGATTGTATCTTACTTAACTATTGTACAATATCAGAACCAGGAAACTGACACTGGTGTAAAGTATATATAGTTTTATGTAGTTTTAAGACATGTTTAGATTCATGTAACCACCACTGCAATCAAGATACAGAACTATTCTGCTGCAAGGATCTCCCCTGTGCTACCATTTTATATCAATTGTACACATCCTCCCCACCTCCCCATCACTGAGTCTTGGCAACCACTAATCTGTTCTTCATCTCTGTAATTTTGTTATTTCAGGAGTATTATATAACTGGAATCATACAGTAGGTAATCTTTTAAGATTGGCTTTTTTTCATTCACATAGACCCCTTGTGAACCATCCAAGTTGCCTGTATCAATATTGATTACTTTTCACTAGGCTGGTACTCCTTGGTAAGAATGTACTACAGCTTATTTAACCATTCAACTGTTCCAGGAGAGTTTGTTCCCAGTTTTTGGCTATTCCCTTTGAGCTTCTAAATATATTAATTGTAGTCATTATTATTATTAATTATAGGCCTTATCTTTTAAGTCAACATGTATCACTTTTGCAGGTCGGTTTCTACTGACTAAATCATTTCTCTTAACTATGGGCATGTTTTCCTGTTTCTCCTCATGTCTAGTAAGTTTTTATTATATACTAGATAAGCTGATGATGTACTGTAGAGACTATGGATTCTGTTATCTTCCCTGAAAAATGTTGGGTTTTGTTTTAATACATACTTAAATGAATAGATCACCTACAATATATAGAGACTTGGTTTATGTGCTGTTTTTAAAGCTATTTTAGTTTTTCCCTTAATTCAAGGGGAATCCCTTATCCATGTGACTTAGCCTTTACTTTGGAGGTGTGCTACCCTTGGAGTTTTAGTGGGTAGCCTGATGTACTTAGCACCTGTTGTATATGGCTGGATTCATACTCTCAATTCTGACTTCCATGTAGTAGATAACAGCTAAAATCACTGTTCATTAATTTTTGTCCTTTTTGTTGCTTTTCAGCCTTTCTACTGTTCTTTCTGGATTTCTTGGCATGTTACTTACACCTCTATAGTTTAGAGATCAACCAAGGGTTCATAGGCATTAATAATCAGATTTTTAGTTTCTCCTTTGGCTCACTTCTTTTATAATATTTCCAGGAGCTCTGGAGGTACCCAACTCCATGCTCTGATTCATCAGACCAAATGAACTGCAGATTTTTGCTGAAGTTCTGCTGTCCTATATCGCCCAGACTAGGGGAGTGGGCACAGGGGAGAACTGCAGAAACACAGAGTTCATGTAGGGTAGTCCCCTGCATTTCAAGTTGATTCTCTTCTAGCTCTTGCTTGTTTTTGGTTACTTTCTCATGTCTTCAAGCAGATTTGTTTCGGGACTTTGCTCAGCATTTATTAATCTGTAGGAGGTTTAGTGTGATATAAACTACTGTGCCATGTCTTAACATGATTCGTTTTTGAGTTTTGGCACAATTTTATCTATTGATGTGTATGTATAAAGCATTTGTGGAGTTCCTGATTTTCCATGGATAAAAACACATTTTTATCTTCCTTAAGTGTTTCATTTTAGCCCATTGAAAGGCCTTATTTTCTCCTTTTTCACTTTCAAATTCTATCAGTCGTCAAGTGTCCATGTAGTTCATATCCTAAATTTTCCTTCCAGTGAAACTGTACTACTTTATTTATCATTTATCCCATGATATGTCAATTAACACACATTCCAAGCTATGCAGGACGCCCACTAGTAGGGTTAGAAAGCAACTTAGATGGGGCTTGGAATAGAAAAGAGGTGACCTTGAAAATTAGTGCTAAAATAGTTTAAAGCTGGTATGGTTATAGTCAGACAATGGGAAGCTTCTTTCTTTCAGATATACTCCCCAACTGGTGCTATCCTTAATCCAGTCACCTCATATGAGTATAATTTTCTTTCCCAGCAAGATCAGAAGATTCCTGAGGGCTAGTATCATGTCTACTTCTTCTCCCATAGCTTTAAACAGTGTTTCACACAAGAGTAAACATTCATTATTCTGAGTGCATTGCTTTGAATTTTGACCATTTGGTTAAAACTGAATGTTTTCTTTGCTTATGATTTTCTAATTACCTGGCAGTGTTGTCCACATGTGGTATCTCGGCAAGAGCACGAAGATTCGTAGCTTGGCTTCGGCCCGATTCTCCCCCACATCTGTCAGTATTCTCCTTTCTCCCTCCCTCACCACACCCCCGCTGCTTGGCCTTCTCTCAGTACCTTAGCACGTCAAGCAATTGCTGCCTCCGCCTTTCTCCCTCCTACTTCGTTTGCCTAGAACGGACGAGGCACGGTTGCTGCTTCACGTCACTTAGGTCTCAGATCAAATGCTGATCCGTCCGAGAGGCCCGGTGATCACCTGATCAAAGCTCCCTGTCCCCTTGACTCTGATCCACATCATTCTCTTGTTCGTTCTTCTGTTTTACTCTTTTCATGGTACTTATTATTACCTGAAATGATCTTCTTAGTACTTATTTGTGTGTTTTGTTGCCTGTCTTCCCAGGTTAGCATCTGAACTCCATGAGGTCAAGGAACTTGCTTCATTCAGAGCAGTATCCCCAAAGCGGATAAATGGGTGAGTGTTTGAGTTGTCACCTGTGAGCCGTCTTGAGAACAATTCACAGTCGATAAAGTATTTCAATGTACATAATTTTAAATTGATTTCAGTGAAAAGTGGCACAAAAGTAGAGGCTACAGAGATGTTTTCAAAGAATAAACAGAGCACTAATTCCACCCAGAAAGAGCACAGGTCATAAGATCTACCAATGAAAGGCAAAAGAAAATAGTGATGTCTTGTATATAGTGATGATAGCTAGTATTACTGGGTACTTACTATGTGCCAGGTACTGTCCCCAAAGCTAGACTAAAACAGAAAATCTCATTTAGTCCTTATAACCACTCTCTAAGATAGGTACATTACCTACCATAATCTGCATTTTATGGATAATGACATTGAGACCAGAGCTTAGATAAGGAGTTACATGGGTTAATGTGCCTGAAGTTATAAAGCCACTAAGTGGCAGAGCTGGAAATCAAATCCAAGCAGTGTGATTCCAGGCTGTGCTTGTTATCACTGGACTGTATTGCTTCACTGCCTCTCAGGAGTAAGAGGAAATTCGTTTTAGTTCTCTCATTTATTTATCAAGCAGCTCTGGCATTATTCTTTTGCATGAAGTTTTATGCCCGTATCATTCAGAATAAAGAACCATAGACTCAGGGCTGAGTTTTAGGCCCAGGCATGTTATCAATCTGTGTGAAATTTAGTCTAACTTCTTTACTCCTATGTTCTCAAATATGTAAAATGAAGGTTTTGAGCCTCATTAAATAGAAACTTATTTTAGAGTTTTATTTTTCTCTTATGAGCATCCTGAGTCCCATGCTGCTGATATGTTTTGGAAGAATACCGTTAGGCATATTGAGTACATTACCTGGACTTTGTTCATCTCCAGTTTGTTCTTCTCATTGGCACTCTGGTCTTGTTTGCTAGCTCCTTTTTTCTGAGGTCCTTTTCCAAAGAAGATGTAGTTTACAAAAGCATATTCCAGCAGAGCCAGGAACACAAACACAAAGCAGCCCATTAGGTAAATATCAATCGCTTTGACGTAAGGGATCTTTGGCAGCGTCTCCCTGAGGTGAGTGCTGATGGTCGTCATAGTCAGCACGGTGGTGATTCCTGCGAGGCAGAAAGACAGCTTGGCTGAATGCACTTTCGGTCAGTTGCCCTTTTAAAACTGAGGAGACAGATGTCATTCCCTAATTGGTGTCCCAGAATCATGGCAGTAACACGATAAAACTGGGCAAAAAGGGCAGACATTTTGAATGAGAAAGCTGCAGACTCCTTGCCCAGCCCATGAACAGATCATAAAATATGGTGTGCCGTGAAGGGAAGGCTGAAAGCAATTTTTAAGAGAAAAATGCACAAAGAAAGAAGTCAATGCAAAGGCATATCAAAATCCCGCTGATGCTTCCTGCCTAGTGTCCCCGTCCCTCAGTCCCTCAGCCCCTCAGCCTGTTACCTGACACATCTCGCTTCCTTCTCCTCTCGAGTCTCCCCCATTTTCTTCCTAAATCTGTCTTTGTCATGCTAATCCCCACATCAGCCACTACCAAACTGAAAATGGGTGTCCAGTTTGAGACCTATTGCATTCCATAAATCATTTTAATCAGTATTACATTTTAAAACGGTCGTGCATGATTAATAGTGAGATAACATGAAAAGAATAAACAAGTAAGAAAGTTCATGATTTACATCAAGCATTAGATTCATGTATTTTTAAAATATAATATGATCTTTTTGCTTTGGTTTTCCGAATAGTGTTGAATGAATTAGAATGAATTCGTTTCCTGGAGTCAAAAAAGACTTCCTAAAACATTCAACTTGGGTTTGTTAAGAACTTTTGGGGAAACTCTTGAAAGATTCTGTTTAGTTTACATTGTTAAAAATAGTATTTTTAGCCATATAATGTTTGTGTGGTTGCATAATAAATATTTGTTGTTGATGATGGTGATGAAATGATAATTGGAAAAAAACAAGAAGTGGAAAAGTTGCAATCTCATGTGGATAGTTTGTCCTGTAATAATACTACACATTTATGTGGCGTTTCACAGTTTTAAACACTTACAGTTATGAATTATATTGTATGGCTGCCATAACAGGTTACTGAATATGATATGGCAAGTTCATTATTCTCATTTTATAACTGAATAAACAGAAACTCTGAGATTAGTTATTTTTCTGTAAATGACCTAGCTAGGGGCAAAAAAAGTACACAGGGTGGTATTAAATAAAGGCATTTAAAATAGAAGTAGAAAGATCAGTGGGTAAAACCTGAAATTTGATGGCAGTTCTTAAAAATGAAGACAGGAAGTATGAAAAAGATATTGAAAGAAAACAAAGGAAGTCTGGCAAAAGAGATGCAAGATTGAAAATGAAGACTGAAAAAAATAATATAGCACTCACTTCCCAATCAGATCATTCTAGATAGATTCCTTGGTTTGACTATTCAACTTTTAGGAGAACAGATAAAGTAGGAAGTCAGGATTACCATACAAAATGTAAAATGGTTCAGATCAGTGAGGAATTCCAATGTGTTACACTGATTTGAAATGCCATCATGAGTGCTCTTACTTATTTCTTTGAATAAAATTTTAAATTTCACCTAACATAATTCTAGCTAAATAGAAACAAACAATAGAAACAACTCATTTACAAATGCACTAATTGCATCTTTGCTTCTACTTCTAGGTTTAAATTTTTAAGCAAGAAGGGTTAGTAAATAAATGTATTTTCTACTTAGATAAATTTTAAAATATAACAGGTTTTATATTTCAAGGAACAGATGAAGTCAACATGAGTATACTCTGACATCTCTAATCAAAATGTTGCTAATTTTGAGGATAGAAGTGTAAAGAGAGCCACAATTCAATGACCTTGAAAGCTGTTATTTCCCGTTATAGATATCATTCAATGCTATTTCCCTAACCATAGCATATATATACTCATGTTCATATTCAAATAATGTCTGCAGATGCATACATACGTATGATATGATAAATTCTTTATTTTCTTTTGTTAGTTTTGTAATGTTCAAAGGGGCTGCCAGCACCTGATTTTGTGAATGTTATATACTCAGCCATTAGAAATAAACTGTAGAGATGACAATTAGTCTAGTTGTGAAAGGGTATTCTGATCATCTAACCCAGTTCAGTCATCTCAGAAGATTAATGTGTATGTTAGCTTAGCCAGAAATGAGGCTCATATGTATTTGTGTGTGTGTGTGAATCAGCCACATTAAGTGATAACTGCAATGGCTCTAAGGATCAAATAATGAGATTCAGATTCATCAAACAGAACTTACATATTCTAACCTTCCAAGAACACCTTAAAGTCTCAAATATAGCTCTTCAGTTTGCAGCAATTAGTCAACCATGGCAAGATTAATACTGAATTTTGTTCCTCCAGGAAGGAAACCATTTTTATTCTGTCCTGATCACAGATCATTAATATAGCTGATGAATAGTCTGTGCCTTATTCAAATGAGATGAGCTCCATTTAAGGGAGACTTAGATCGATATGATTTAATTTTGGTTAATGTTTGGAAGACAGTATTTCCCAACAATAGACATAGCTTGTCAGTAGTCATGAGGTTTAGCTTTCTTCAAATCCATTTGAGAATAATGCATTGTAAATGTTCTCCACTGTTAAAAGCAGGGAACAAAGAGGAAATGATCACAAAATTATTAAAAATTAGTGTAATGAGAATACTCTAAGAAGCACTTTCACAGTGTAGAATGTATTGCAATTTCTTTTTTTGGTAAAGTGCTAAAAAGATATTACATTGTAAACCATTGATTCTTAAGTGTTCACACATAGATATTTGATTATCAAGCAATCATATTGTCATCTCATTCTTTGGCTTGCTAGGAGAGAAACCCTTGCCTATAATTCCTAACATGGGTTATTCGTTTGAAACTAAATCCCACCAACTGTCTGCAGGGCTGGTAATGCATTACCTAGTGCGACTCTGGCTGCAGATGCATCATAGTTGATCCAAAAAGACACCCAAGACAGAATTGTAATCAGTGTAGAAGGCATATAGGTTTGCAGAATGAAGTAACCAATGTTTCTCTTCAGACGAAAACTTAGTGACAGTCTGGGATATGCCCCTGAGTTGGAAAAAAACAAAACAAAACAAAATCAGATCACCATTGGTTTGGAGCCTTCTTCTTTCTCTCCCAGTGCCATTGTTTGTTTGGGGAAACATCCTCACCGGTTGTGAACTCCACCTTCTTGGACACCATCTTGTAGTCAACAATTGAAAACTGAGGAAGCTCAATTTTGTTAACTCCAGTTACTGCTCCCTCTCCTCCGTTCCAGTAAAACTCAATGTCATCAGTGGTATAGCCATCTGAAACCAAGAAAAATAGCATAGTTAAATAGAGTTCATTTGGTCTCAAGATTTATACTGAAGACAGTCTGGGATCCGGGGAGAAAATGCCCAGCAAGTGATGGTAAGATGACAGTGCTTTGAATCAGGATGGTGTGTAGGTCTAGAGGAGCCCAGTTTCTGATGGGTTGGTTGTGGTAGCTCTGAGAAAACAGATGCATCTGGCTTCGGTTGATGTGGGCTCTGTGATCATTCAGTGGTTATTCTCCATATGTCTGTGAATGGAGGAATTAGATTGCGGGTTTGCTGGGTTTCAGATGCCTGGGCATAGATTTTTACTATGCATAGGTTAACAATAACAAGTAATAATAATTGAGTGCATATTTGTTAAAAGGAAAAGAGAAAAACTAAAGTGATGCGGTGCAATGAAAGATCAAATTTGTATATGCCAATGATAAGGCATTTAAAAAAGGAACATGTTTTTTTTAGAAAATTAGCAAGCTTCTACTCATATATTTTGATTATAGCTTGGTGATTTTAAGAACTGTATGAGGTTTTTTTTGTTAATACCTTTATTAAGGTATAAATGACACAAAATTTGCACATATTTCAGTGTGTTGTTTGGTAAGTTTTGACATGAAACCATTACATCGATCTGGAAAATGGTATAGCCATCATTGGAAAAAGTCTTCTCAGGCTTTTTACAATCTCTTCCCCCAACCAGTAGGTCTCCCAACCTTTGCAGAGGGGTGTGTGTGTGTGTGTGTGTGTATGTTTGAGGTGAGAACTATATGATTTGTTCATAATACTTTTATATCCTAATACTGAAGAGGGCGAGCTTTTGTTAATTCACTGGGAACATATAGAGGATTGTAGATCGCAGTGGAAGAGTCTACCCTGAAGGCTGTTCTCTTCCCCCTTCCACTTCTGCTCCAACTTGTTAGTGGTCTAGCTGGGTTGTGGTCATATAGAAGAGCAACTTGCTTAAAAACAATGTATGGATATATTAAAAAATCTAAAAATCACTTAAGGCATATAGAAGGCTACATTTGTCTCTTTCTAACTGCTAGAAGCAAAGTATATTTAAGTTCATTTTCCATTTAAATTCAAGGCAAATAAAAAAGCGTCAAATCTTTTTTCTGTTAGAATTACTAGGGCTTATGTTTCAAAGGTAACCATATAATGCAGTAGACATGCTGACCTACTTTTGATGAAGCCCAGTAATGTTTTTTCAAAAGATTAAGAAAAATAATATATTTAAAATTTAGAAGTGGAATGCCAAATGTGAAAGGATCACCATCAACATGTCACTTCAATAACATAAGAGATTTTAAGGTGTTCTTTCTTTCTTTCTTTTGAGTGGAAAAAACCTTTTTGGCTTTATTGCTTTAAACATTTTTAGCTTCTTTTCAAAAAGCTCTTGTTTGAATTCTTATTCCTGAACTCATAGAACTCATAGCTGTTTTATATTTATCACTTGCCACTCTGTAGATGTTATTATTTACTGTAATATATTTCAGTTTATTTTATTTTATTTCTCTTTAAACCATCTCCTTCTAGGTAAGTACTGGCTGTCTTTTCAGAGGGTGATTTACAATGACCCAAGTGTAGACATAGAAATAGAAGATATTTACTTTTAGATATAATCCCTGGCATCTAAGAGGTTGTTGTGAGACCTTCTTTACCTTTTGGACTTAGAGTGATCTACATGGGACTTATTGGCATCTTGGGGATTTATACCAAATTTGGGTATGGGTCAGTAAGACTGATTCTTAACATCTTTTTGAGAATTTGATAAAAACTTCTGAACTCAAGAGAATGAGTAGACAGGATGTAGACTAAGTGTAAATATTTGAAAAATCTGATAAAAGACTGTTACCTAAATACAAAGAGAACTTAAGACTTAACAATAGAAAAACAACCCAATTAAAAGATGGGCCAAAGATCTTAACAGACAACTCACCAAAGAAAAGAGACAGATGGTAAATAAGCACATGAAAATATGCTCCACATTGTATATTGTCAGGGAAATGCCATACAAAACAATACTAAGACACCACTACATACCTATCAGAATGGTAAAAGTATGGAATACTGAATGACACCAAATGTTAACGAGGATGTGGAGCAACAGGAACTCTTACTCATTGCTGGTGGGAATACAAAGGGAACAGCCACTTTGTAGGACAGTTTGGGAGTTACAAAACTAAACATACTCTTACCATACTATGTAGTAATTGTACTTCAAGGTATTTACCCAAAAGAGTTGAAACCTCTCATCCACACAAAATGTACACACAGATGTTTATAGAAGCCTTGTTCATAACTGTAAACACTTGGAAGCAACCAGATATCTTTTGGTAGGTGAATAGATAAATTGTGGCACATGCAGGCAATGGAATATTATTCACTGCTAAAAACAAACGAGCTATCAATCCATGGAAAGGCAGAGAGGAAACTTAAATGCATATTACTAAGTGAGAGAAGCTGATCTGAAAAAGCTACATGCTCTATGATTCCAACTATGTGACAAAGAAAGAGGAAACTATGGAAAGAGTAAAAAGCTCAGTGGTTGATGGGGTAGGGGGGTGGGTGAGGAGGATAAATAGGCACAGCACAGAGGATCCTTAGGCAATGAAAATACTCTGTATGATACTATAATGATGGATACATGTCATTATACATTTCTCCAAACCCTTAGAATGCATAATACCAAGAGTGAATCCTAAAGTAACCTATGGACTTTGGGTGATTATGATTTGCCTATTTAGGCCCATCCTTTATAACAAGAGGAGCTTTGAACAAATAAAGAGTGCTTCTGTCGTGTTAACTCAGACCCCCTGAGTCTGCTCTCTGCCAGGAAGGAGGAAATGAGCTTCTGGGATCATCTGGACCTGCTCTCCACAGAGCCATTATTAAAAGTGACTTTCTATCAACACAAAATAGGATCAGTTAACAAATTCACAAGACCCATGAGATAAAAGCAAACCAATTGGCTTGCAACAAGTGCTGATTGCCAGGCCTGGGAGAAATTTCTTCCCAGGACCTTTTTCATGTGATGAAAAATGCCTCAGCAGCATCTATCCAGGAAGATGGCATGAGAGAGAAGCTTTCTCAAAGAGAGAGATGGAAACAAATAGGTAAAGTTTAGTTAAAAAAAATCCTTTAAGAAGCCAGGACAATACACCTCAAGTTTAAAGCTTTTTCCTCATCTAACTTGATGGGAGTGTGGGCTTTAGACTAGCATATCTCATATCTTTGCTCACCTTTATATGGGGCTGGGGTGTTTTTTCTTTTAGGCAGGTTCTTGTTGGACTCCTTACATTTCACAAATGAATACCTGTCCTAGTCAAAGCTAGACTGCATATGATTTTGCTTTTAGTTGGCAACAAATCATATTTGAACTGCTAAGTGTTTGTTAGGGAGGAAGTTCTTACACCTAGTATCTGGAGACTCTCTGTGGAGAGGAACACTATTTCTTGATCAAAGCCTGAATGCGAACTTTTGCCCTTGTCCCAATTCACCTATAGCTTTTGACCTCATTATGCCTCTATCATTAGCTTTGTGGTCCTGGGTGGCCCATTTCTAGAAGACAGTAAAAAACAGGGCTGATAGAAGACAGCTTTTATGTTAGCTTCTGTGTGCTGCCCATCAGAGGCACCTGCTGGCTCATTTCTTCTTGAGCGCTAACGTCAGGTCTCTGCTGACTCTCCTCCTCCGCCATGAACAACTCTGGGTTCACCCTCTCCTCTTCTGAGATATCCATCAGGTCTCTGCAGATGCACAGAACACCCCTGCCTCTGAACTGTCAAGGCAAATAGATGGCAACTATATTTAACATGCCAACACACATATTTTGAGTGCCTACTATGTGTCAAGCCCTGTCCTAAGCATTAAGGATATATAGGGGTGTAGACACGGCTGGGCTTTTCAGGATCGCGTGGTCCAGTGGTAACTGGAGCAAACTACTGACCAGAGAGAGTCAGAGATGGCTTTGCAGAGGGTTGGCCAGATGGCTGGAGCAGGCCTGCGGTATGTGGAGTGAATAATATAAATGGAATAACATAAACGTAGGATGAGGTCAGTGGGAAACTGATTTATTGCTTAAAATTTACTCAGTAGGCAACTCAGTTTTAGCAAGAAAATTGAACTTTACAGAGCCAAATTGAATTATTCAAACACTATAAAATCCTCAAAGATTTCAGTAGGCAAAGGTAAATCTCCACTGAGACAAGGAAAGGAATCCGGTAACCATGGCTGAGTGTTGGAAGGAGCGTAGGTAGACACCTGCGGCACCCAGACATGGCCCTTCCTGTTGACTTGGATCAGCTCAACTACAGGCTTGCCTTGAACAAAGCACAGAACAATGTTGAGTTTTACTCGTTTTATCTGTCTTCTCCCCTCAGGCTCTGAGTTCCTGGAGGTCAGGGGCTGGTTCTCATTTCTTTTTGGTACCTCAGTGTCTGGAACATGAACCGAGTTCCTAGTGTATAGTCAGTATCCCATAAAAAATTGTAGAATATTCCATTTTTGCTTCTCATCATCACTACTCCTGGCTTTGTGCTACTGACCTTAACTTGACAGCCAGCCAATAACCTGTGTCTGAACTCATTCAGTGAGTGAGTATTTATTGAGTGCTGACTGCGTCAGGTGGTGGACAAGTACTGGGTACGTGGTGGTGAATAAAACTGTCTCTTGCCCTCTTGGAGCTCGTGGATGTTGTCTAAAATGTAATATATTTTATCACAAAATTCCTTCTGTGGTAGGTACTGTGTGAATAGGCTTCCTTTAGCATGTATTCTAATTCCTTCAGGAAAAGTAAAAACTACATTTCCCAGATTCCCTTGCAACTAAGGGCATGTGTGTGATTTAAATTCCCCAGATTAGATAGAGTTAAGTGATGTGGGAGGTATTTGTTTGTTGGTGCAGCTCATACATAGTATAGATGGTTCTGGAAGCAAGAGTTCTTTTGTGGTCCTCAAGTCAACATTGTGGGAGGAGCTACCTGCTAAGCAGCTTCC